TGATGCATGCCTCTAGAACACATGCTCTCCAGAGCAAGGTTATTCTTATAATCCTTTATGTATAGACTGAAAATTGTGCTTTTTTCTTCCCATACGTAGGTGTGGAATGGTGGCACAAAGGCCAAAATGCAGTTTGAACAGATGTTCACCAGTAATCTGAAAAAGAGCCTTTAAATTCTATTCTGTATACCTGAAGGAGCATCTTCGCCCCCATTATTCAGTCTGGACAATGAGGTCCACCTCTCAGGGCCTTCTGGCGGTTCCCTCATTGCGAGAAGTGAGGTTATAGGGAAACAGGCAGAGGGCCTTCTCAGTAGTTGTGCCTGCCCTGTGGAATGCCCTCCCGTCAGATGTCAAAGAGATAACCAATCATATGACCTTCTGTAGACATCTGAGGGTAGCCCTGTACAGGGAGGTTTTTAATGTCTGAGTCTTTTGTGTTTCAACATTTTGTTGCAAGCCACCCAGAGAGGCTGGGACACCCCAGTCAGATGGGTGGCATATAAATAAATCTTCATCTTCATTCACACACACATTTCCTTACCAGCAACATGTGAGTCTTTTAAGAGTTGACTGAGCAAAACAACAACATACACAATGAAATGGGACTTAGCAGAAACGTTTTTAGTCCTATGGATTTTAATGGGATTAGTGAAAAGAGTCCACCCCCCCCCCAATAAAACATAGCACATCTAATTCTATCTCCCTTGGAGATTTGTGCTTGTCAAGGAGCAGTCCACAATGTCTTGTGGAAGAGCACTTTTGAACCAAGGGGACTTTTTTTAAAAAAAAAATATGTTTATTAAGAGTTTAAAAGTTATCAAAAAAAAGAGTTAAACAAAGCAAAACAATACAATACAATACATAAAAAACAAAAAACACTACTTATCTTAACAAAACAAAAACAAGAACAAAAACAGAATCAATTAAAAACACATCCCATATTTCCATATCTCGTCTTTCATTTACTTGTTTCGATGACCTCCTCACACCTCCCTTTTTTGTATTCTAGTTCAGTTAGCTATTTCAGCAAATCCTTTTCATCTTTCTCAGTTTTTGACCTATAGTTTATCTTAACACAATCTAACCTTGGTTCCCCCCCCCCTTTAGCCCATTAACAGTCTATTTTTACTTAATTCTTTATAACATTTCTGCTAAAGCCATATAACTTCATTCCAGCATCGAACCAAGGGGACTTTCAAAGGCAGATTGTGGCAGGGCATGGACTTTCACAGAAACATCTGAAGGGGAGGGAAGCAAAATACTCAAATGAACATTAAGAGAACTGGTCTACCATTTCTAGTAGATCTGTTGACTAAGCAGCAGTGAAGCCTGAGTACACCTGGCCTCTGAGAAACAGATACTCTATATCCCTCTACTCTTTCCAAGTGGGTGCACCTCCTGTTCATCTAGGGACAGTGCTTGCATCCATGTAGCGATGGGGGAGAAATTAGATGCAGTCAGCGTTTTAAAGCCAAATCTAACAAATTTGCAGTTTCTGAAACAATATGAGAACTGGAACACAGCCGTCTTCAAAATTTGCACTTATCCGAATTTTGTAATGCAGTTCTTCAACCAGTTTTTACAAAAATACATATATGAGATATAACAGTGTGTAAAAATGAATATATTAGTGAAAATAACATGCAAAAATGCATTATATTAGGGGAAATGGCTTGCAAAAAAAATGTACATTTGTCAAAACTGCACACAAAAATATGTTCATTTGGAGAAATTTGCAGTAAAATGCTGAGGAATTTTCAGGATGATGAAAAAACACACCAACAGATTTCTGAAGACCTGAATTTAAAATTGGAAAAATGAGACATGTGAGAGGACCAAAGCTGACAGATCCCTCCATCCTTACTTCCACCCACAGCCAAAATTCATTAATCAATTAAAGGTTTTAGGGAGATTAACAGTGAAATATGATATGCCCTGTTGCCTCTGATTTTAGCCTAAGCTCTAGAACTGAGCTTGAAGGGACAGCAAAGTCATTCCCCACTTAAATATCTGGCAAAAGTTTCCCTAATCTGGCACCTGTAAACATCAAGGAACTATTCTTTCATTCATTCATTTAATAAAATTTATACTCTCCTTGATTGTAACAAAAAAAACCACAAATCAAATATACAAAAAGGCAAAACAATGAAATCAAGAGAAAATCACAACCACACTTTAAAGAATACCAATGTTAAAATGCTAAAACAGATTACCTCAACTTTCTAAACATCTGAGTAGGCTCGTCTAAACAGGAATGTCTTTAGCAGGTGACAAAAAGCATACAGTGAAGAATTTCAGTCATAATAAATTTAAATCTACATTATATCATGTGAGTGAGAAATGCATTGATACACACAAACACACAGCAAAATTTCTTGGCTTAATTTGAAAATGAAAGCATGATGGTGTTTGTAACCTTCAGCTATATCATTCTGCAAGATAACATGCTGAAAACAATGGGTTTTGTAAGCTAACCCAAATTTATTGGTGAGCATATTTCTACACAGGGACTCACAACGTATTTTACGTTAGAAGAAGAAAAGGTTTTCTTTACACTGTCTAACCTAGAGGGGGGAAAAGTGGTATACAATTGAGAAGTATACAATGCACCAGTATAAATTATGGGCTTATTGTTCATTGCAATGTAAAGGGTATGTGCGGTGCACTTAACTATTGTATTAGAGAATTACAGAAACCGAATCCACCAAGCAGAAATGGCTTATGTCTGAATAAAAAAATATGTATCTTTAAGAGAGATACAATGTGTTTGGAACCCCGAGGGTTAATGAGAGGTAAGCTGGTGAAGGGGGAGATGAGATGAAGGGAATAAAAGAAGCTGAATAGATGAAAGAACTGATTCAATGGGAGGTATTGTTGGTCACAGCTAGGTGTCCGAAACAAACAGAAAAATGGGAACTGCTTTAACATTGGAGGGAAATAATAAAAAAAAGAACTTATACCACATATTAAAAAGGGCGGGGAGGAGGAAATAAGTAATAAAAGGCTTTCAGGCTATTTCAGTAGAGCTCTCTCCCCTGCCACATATATATATATATATAAGAGAAAGAAAGCAGATAAATTGAATTCCTCTCTAACAGCATCTCATACAGAAAGGTTCATTGTCCCCCTTTTCACATCAAGAATTTAATTTTGCATTCCCTTTCTCCATCTGGAGATATGTTCCGAGTTTCCTTACTCTAACTTCTATTATGCTTCCCCCACGGTGCCCTCTGTTTCAGATAGTCTGTATTGATGGATGTTCAGTTCAAATTTAGTGAGGATAGCAGAGAAACATTATGCAGTCTGCTGCCTCTAATTTTCAGCTAAAGTCTTGAGCTGAGCTTGAAGAGACAGTAAAGGTTTTTCGCGTGTGTGTTTTTGTTACTGGCAAAACTTTGGCTGGTTTACTTCCCCTTCCCTGGAGCCTGTAAGCATCAGGCAACACTTTCACTCATATTCACATCTAAACATAGGTTGTATCATGTGAGATGGAAGTGTGTTGATGGTAAACTATTGCTATTGTTATTTATTATATTTCTATACCGCCCTTCATCTGACGATCACAGGATGGTAAACTATTCCTTGGTAGGCTATCACCAACCAACCCCTAAATCACTTATTTCCCACAATGTGTTCCTGGCAACCAGATTTACTTGGAAGAAGTCCAAGTTTTATGTATGGTTAGAGAGGTTGTGCGCCACTCCCAATCTCTGCTGAGCAGTAGCAAGATTCCAGGGGTGTTCCACGCACTCAGGGTTGTGTTTCATATGGTTAAGAGCGGTAGATTCGTAATCTGGGGAACCGGGTTCGCGTCTCCGCTCCCCCACATGCACATGCAACTCTTCTTCTTCTTCTATATATACATATAGATATATAGATATATATATATATAGATATAGATATATATATAGATATATATATAGATTTCAGATCAAAATTTTACAGTCACATGTCTGTAAACAAGATTCCAAGGAATCTCTTGGACTTCCCTCCTCCGCTTTGTGGGTCCTATTGTTAATCATTTCCTCCTGCATCTTTTATAATAATCCAGATCTTTTATCTCTCCATTGTCTCCCGAATTCACCATTAAGCTACAAGCGATATTCCAATCCTACTAATGATTTTAACTGTTTACAATGGTCTTTAATATAAGTTATAAATCCCCCCCCCCAATCCTTATTAAAATTTTGGTCTCCCTGATTTCTGATTCTTCCAGTCACTTTAGCCATTTCGGCACAATCCATCCATTTGATCTGCCTTTTTTCTCTGATGGGGACTTTATCTTCTTTCTATCTCTGGGCCAATAACATCCGCACAGCCATGGTCACATACATAAATAGTCTTTTCTGCTCCCCTTCATTCAGGGTTGTGTTTCCATTGGGAAACAAAGCACAGTGGAGACTTGTGTTTTTAAGAAATATGGCTTACTTGCCTTCCAAGTGTTCTGATTTCCCAGGGACAGTCCTGGAATTACGAAAGGCCACCCTGGCTTCTGATTTGATCCCAGAACGTCCCTATTTCACCTGCCAGTGCTGCCGTAGCTGAGCTCAGGGAGGAAGAGCCGGCAATTGTCTTGAATTACGGCAGCTGCAGCAGCTGTAGCTGCCAGGGAACATCCTGTTGTCTCTCCATAGCCTCTCCATGGCCGCTGCTGGCCTCCTCCCTTGGACAGCTTATAGCAGATGCTGGAGAGCAGGAGAGGAGGAAGAAAGGTTACCGCCACTGAGGCCCAGCTCCACATGATGCACCAGTTCTGAGGGGCAGGCAAAGGGCAGGGCAGGAGGGGAAGAAAATGGGAGTGGAGCAGAGCACAAGCAGTCTTGATTTTTTTCATTTAAAAAAATGCTTTGTGTGTCTGTGTCTAATCTTGCCCCTTTCTAAAATTTATTTATTGGTGTATGTTTTTTCTTTTTGTATATCTACCAAAGAATAGAATAGCATAGAATAGAATAGAATAAAATAAAATATGTACTGGGGGGGGGCTTTCTCAGGACGGTGGAGGGCTTGTGTGCTGTGTCTTGTTGGGGTAGCGGTGGCAGCACTTATCCTTCTTCTGATAGGAAATGCTCTGTGGGGGAGGGGAATGGGGAGGTTGATGAGGGTCAGTTGGGTGGGCAGTGAGGAATGTCCCTATCTTCATCTGAGGAATGGTAGAGGGAATGGGCTTATTTTACACATATTTACACCTGGGCCTACTTTGGAGAGCATTCAAAGCATTACATCCCAAGAGAGGCTTGCTCCCCACAGCAAGGCAGCATTCGAGTCCAAAATATCCTCTTCTTTGTCAATATTTCAATCTTTTTTTTAAAAAAATGTATATTAAAAAGTATAGGGGTTCCATTTCAACTATACATGAATTCAGTCACTCCTCTGCCCCATGTTGCAGGCCCCATTAGATTACTCCTCATAAACATTTTGATTTCTGGCTTCTCATGGGCCAGATTCAACCAAACTGGTGCACTAGAGGGAACCAGTGCTACGAGTCCTGCTAGCGCAACTGGCGCTCCTCCCTCGCCTCCTCTGTGCCCCCCACATCAGGGACTGGGTCAGGATGACCCTGAGAACAGCCTGTGAGGAAAGGAGAGGGAGATCACAGAAATACTTGTGCTGATGGAACAAATGTAATAGTGCAACATTATACGATGTTGCAATGTTGAATTCCACCCTCTGTGTTTCTTCACACTGACAATGGAATGGGTGTTTGTGCTAGGTATCTATGCCAATGGCTAGAACTGCTTTGTTTTTAAAACAGGGATGAAGCACCTGTTGTCCTCCAGGTGTTTTTGGATGACATCTCTCAACAGCCCCAGCCAGCATAGCCAATGTCCAGGGATTTATTCCCTCCCCCCTCAGCAATTTGTATACAGCTTAATCACAGTCCTCTCTCAGCCCTCTCTGGTGATAAGAGTTGTGGTCCATGAGGGCCACAGGTTTCCTGCCCCTGTTCTAAAAAAAAAGAGGAGGGTGATTCTTTGACCACGAATGACATTGTTCTTTTTTCTGAGGAATGAAAGGGGAAAAACATTCACATAAAGTAATGCATTGCTGGGTTTCTTGGTACAATTACACCTCAATGTATCTAGAGGCAGGTTTTAGAACTCTGCACTCACACCTGTCCCCACACACTGAAATCTCTGTTCATTGTACTGTATCTGGCATGACTTTCCTAGGTACAGAAGACCTTTCCTCCTTAAATCTGGTCAGACTGGTTAACTTGTGTATTGAGTTTACAGGAAGCTGGCCTATACTGAATCAGGGGGTGCAGAAGGCCACAACGAGACTCCTTACGGGGTCCTCGCTGCGGGGTCACATTCACCCAGTGCTATACCAGCTGCACTGGCTCCCGGTGGAGTACAGGATCAGGTTTAAGGTGCTGGTTTTAACCTTTAAAGCCCTATACAGCCTAGGACCCTCGTACCTATGGGACTGCCTCTCCTGGTATGTCCCATGGAGGACCTTACAGTCTTCAAACAAAAACTTGGAGGTCCCGGGCCACAGGGAGGTTAGGCTGGCTTTTTCGGCCGTGGCTTCGATCTCATGGAACGCTCTGTCACAAGAGACTAGGGCCCTGAGGGACTTGACATCTTTCCACAGGGCCTGCAAGACACAGCTGTTCCACCAGGCCTTTGACTGCTTTAACATTGGAGGGAAATTAAAAAAAAAAAGAACTTATACCACATATTAAAAAGGGCGGGGAGGAGGAAATAAGTAAGGTAATCCTCACAGAACTTTAGCCCAATGGTTGCCATTAATTTGATTTGAACTGATTTTATAATGAATTGATTTTAAAATGCGGTATTATTTTACTGTTGTTAGCCGTTCTGAGCGCGGCTTCTGCTGGGGAAGGTGGGATATAAGTAATAATAATAATAATAATAATAATAATAATAAGACAAATGATATTGTTCTACACTGACTAGTAGCCAGTGGCGTAGGAAGGGGGGTGCGGTAGACTCGTAATCTGGGGAACCGGGTTCATGTCTCCACTCCTCCACATGCAGCTGCTGGGTGACCTTGGGCTAGTCACACTTCTCTGAAGTCTCTCAGCCCCACTCACCTCACAGAGTGTTTGTTGTGGGGGAGGAAGGGAAAGGAGAATGTTAGCCTCTTTGAGACTCCTTCGGGTAGCGATAAAGCGGGATATCAAATCCAAACTCTTCTTCTTCTGCTGCTCTTCTTCCTCCTCCAGCTCTCCCCACCCCCATGCATCTGCAGTCTGCTGTGGAGGTTCCCCCAACCCACTGAAGCAGATTTGGGTGTGGCAGAAGGGCTACAGAGAGGCAGAGATGAAGGTAAGCTCCACTGTGTGTGTCTTAGAATTTCACCAACAGATTTAGGCCCCTGGGAGTCACAGATACCTGGCCAAGCTATTCTTATGGTTGCAGAGTGGGTTGCCATTCAGCTGTACCTACCCATCCTCCCGCTGCTTAAAATTGAGTATGCAATAAGAAGACCAATTCTTTTTTAAAAAAACAAAGAGTGAAGAGATGTTTTGGAATAGGCATTGCTATCAAACTCAAGGATAACAGTGCTTTGCACACTTGCCCGAGAGTAAGCCCCACTGAACACAATAGAAAGGGCTTCTCATAAACATGCATAGGATTATGCTGTTAGTTCTGAACAAATGTGTCTAGGATTGGTGTGTTTATCTATTATGGGTAACTGGCAGTTTCTTCATTGCTGACTCTGTGTCAACAGCTTTGGCTGATATAATTGTGTTGCTGCTTATCTGTACCAAAGATCTCCTCGGCTATTGAAATTTCATGTGGAATAATCGAAATGAGTGGCAAAGCTCAAGTGGCACAGGGTCAGTATTTGACAAGCTATACATTTACACATTTTAGAAACAGAGGGCCAGTGTTCAATAGACACTTGTCATAGCTTTTTCCTTTAAACATCATGATATGTGTAATACATACATAATATATATTTGTAATACTTTCACAATACAATATTTGTAATACATAGGTGATTCATGCTAAATGACTTGGCTTGCACCGTTGTTGTTGTTTTAATATTTTAGCAATATGGTTCAAATCAGCCTCTCTCCCTTGGTATATTTTTTCCACAATCATGGCTATTGCTGCTTACAACACTCAGTTGGTGCTTGCACCATGAACTGGAGCCAAGCCCAATCACATCAATATAAGCAATATTTGCAATAGGATGGATTCACTGTAGCACCACAGCAATTGTTTGTCAGTGAAAGCACTCTTTACATGTGGTTTTCTGGGGCTTCTCCTCACCTCCTGAAAACAATTTTGGGAAGTAGAGGTTTGGGGGAGGATAGCAGAGAAAGCCTTCTTGTGCTAATGGAAATCCTTGCACAGGCTTCAGCCAGATTCTTAGAAAATTGAGGCAATTTTAATCTGCTTCAGTATTTTAACTTTTGTATGTTTTAAAGTAGGGTTGTAATTTTTCTTTGATTTTCTTGTTTTATGTTTTGTAAACTGCTTTGTGATTCTCCATTAGTCTGACTTCACCCCCAGAGGCACATTCTATTGTCTCTCAAGACAGACGGATGTCAGCAACGACAAACCTCTTTGATGATTTTTTCCACAATCAAGCAGTATATACATTTTATGAAACAAAGAAACAAACAAATAAACTATCAGGACTCCTTAGTTGAATCCCACCAACTATTTGAAATGTTCACATCATATAATTTAATTACCACTGTAATTTGCTGAAAGCATAACCAACAAAATTTACTCCATAGTTTCTTATTTTCCACCAACCAGTGGGATCTTTATCCACTGGTCTTTCATTCCTTCACTTCCGGAACTTTCTCTGTACACAGCCATTCCACCCAGCGGCAAAGCCTTCTTCCTAGAGACCCACGGGTTACATCTACTGAACTCAATGGAACTTACTTCTGAGTTGACATGTACAGGATTGCACATAAAATACTTTTGTGTCGTGATTTCTGCAATTGTGCAAAAAAGGCACTTGATCACAGCTCTATTTACACAAATGTATTTAATGGTACTGTGTGATGCTGAATGAAGTCTTTCTCTCACACCCACACTCCACATTTATTAAGGCCAAGCATTATGTTACTCATGCCTTTTGCTTTTGTGTGGCTGATGCAGTAATGGGTGCTTTCCTCCATGGTCCCAATCCAACTCAGAGGACTTATGTGCCAGTTATTTATAGAGTAGTAGGGGGAATCAGTCATACAAGGGCTAAAGAGATGAATAACATCATGTCTAATTTGACCCTCAAATAACTTTCGCCTCATATGTTTTCCTTTCCTGTCTGTACACATGACTAGGGGGGCTAATTATATGCCCAACAACCATTTTTAAAGGAATGGGGAATGTCTTTGAACTGAGTAGCAGAGGAGGGGAGAGAAAAAGGTGCTTAACCCTTTCTCCTATCCCACTACAACTTGCCCCCCCCCCCCCCAGTTTTCACCCACAGGCTGCTTTTTCCCATGAGGCTCTACTTATATGCAATGGTGGCAATAAAGTTTGCCTTATTTCATCATCAAACCTTTATTAGCATCTCATACAAACATTCAGAATAAATAGGCCAGTGCGATCTCATCGCCATTTCAACAGTACAGTCATTTGCCAAAGGGAAGAAGAGGCAAACAATCTATTTCATCTCTGTGAGTCTCCAGCAAGGGAAGCATCCTGTATTGTACTTCGGCAACAAAAAGTCAAATAGAGGAACTTAGCTACTGTCTTGGTGAGCTCCTGGTCTCTCCCCTGTAATAAGAAGCGTATTACCTCTGTCTCTGGTTTCCATGTTGGAATACATAGATGGTCTAGAAATTGTTGGCGGAGATCATCATACATTTTACATTTAAGGGCCATGTGAGCTAGAGTTTCCACCAGGTGGGCATCGCATGGGCAGATCCTATCTTCTTCCGCCATACCCGCAAACCTACCCCAAAGGAGGTTAGAAGGATTATAATTGAACCTAGCCAGCGAGAAAGCTCTTCTTTCTTGCAGGTTTGTTCACTGAATGCCACAGATCATGGACAGAACCTGTTACAGCAAACACAGTTTAAAACAATTATTTCCAGATAATACCTTTATAGAACACGAGGAGTGCCCTTCTGGATCTGTCCAGCATCCTATTTCCCACAATGGCCCACCAGATGCCTCTGGGAAGCCCATAAACAAGGCATAAGGGCAACAGTCCTGCTCCACGAATTCTCCCCAGCAACTGATATTCAGAGGCATGTAGTGTCCAATAGTATATAGTCATGACAGCTAGCAGTCATTAAGAAGACACATCACCAAAAACAGAGGAAGTGCATTACGAAAAAAGAGAACACACAGATTATACATATTTTTGAACACACCAGAAACGGGGAGTGCGTGTGCCCACGCCTGCAACCTCCCAAATTCCTCTGCAAGGAAGCTGTCATCTGCTCATGTGCAAAGACTTCTTGAACTGTACACACCTCAGCTTAACCACAACTTGTCTTGTCACATCAGATGGAAGTTGGTTTGCAGGGAAATGCATCAACAAGGAGCAGGATACCGCTGGATTGCAGCCAGTGCTTTTTCCAGGGCAGGGGGACACAGGGGTACGCATACCCCTAAATATTTTATGACTCTTTGTACTTTGTATTTGTTTTTGTCGATTTGAACTATAAAATGGTGTTTTTCTTGAGTCAAAATGAGAGTACCCCTAAACATTTTTTTAAAGAAAAAAAGCACTGATTGCAGCCAATGTCATGTGTAGACTACTTCAGACACCAGTGGTGGGAATGCAGTGGAGCAGGAGTAAATGGCAATGTGGACATACCCTACTACTTATCTTTAAACTGGACTTGGACCAGACAGCCATTCAAATAAAGGACACCTTCAAATAGAGCACTGTGATAACCCTTCAAATGGAGAATTGTCCTCTGTGGATTTGGACATATGGCTATCATAGAAGCCACTGAATTTGTTTGATTTCCTTGTATAAAGCCACCTACATTTTGGATTAGTGAATTCCATAGTTTAGCTCTGCACTATGTCCTGAAGTTTCCCTGGTTCAGCTTCATTGGATAATCCCATGTTCTGTTATTATGAGTGAGGTAGAACTTCTCAATAACCACTTTCTCCAAACCATGCAGAATGTTATACACCTCTATATGATGCCTCTTACATCCCTGTTTTCCAAACTAAAAATATATAGTGAGTTTTGCCAGCCCCATGATCATTTTGCTTGCCCTTTACTGAGCTTTTCCAGTTTTGTAATATCCTTCTTGAGACGTGGTGAATTGTACCCAATATTTCACTTGTGGCTGCACTACAGATTTGTAAAAAGACATTGCATGATATTGGCAGTTTTGTTTTCAATTCTCTTTGATATTGTACGCTAATCAGAATTCACCTTTTCACAGCTGCCAACACTGAAGAATTTCTTACAGACTTTGCAAGAAAACCAGTTTTCCTCCCCAGGAGATTTCCTCCTCATTCAAAGCATGTTCGTTCCAATAAATTAAAAAGAGAAAAGTAATTTCCTATAAGTGGTACCTCGGGTTACATACGCTTCAGGTTACATACGCTTCAGGTTATGGACTCTGCTAACCCAGAAATATTACCTCGGGTTAAGATTTGCTTCAGGATAAGAACAGAAATCGTGCTCCGGCGGCGCAGTGACAGCAGGAGGCCCCATTAGCTAAAGTGGTGCTTCAGGTTAAGAACAGTTTCAGGTTAAGTACAGACCTCCGGAACGAATTAAGTACTTAACCCGAGATACCACTATACTTTTGAAATAACTAAGTTACACTAACAGCCCGATCATGTTTACTTACCCACAATGAGTTCTGTGCAACTTACTTCCAAGTAGGCTGGAGCCAGAGCCACACTTACATGGGAGTAACCTCCACTGAATATACTGGGACACAATCTGGACTAAGTATGCATTAAAAACTTGGTAGGTGCTGATATGTATTTTTAATTATAGCATTGCATGCAGATACAATTGCATAAGAGAGTTGCTGATCAGTTAAAATGTAAGTAAATACAACAGATCAACCTTGGCCAACCTGCTGGATGTTTTAGACTACAACTCCCAACAGCCCCAGCTTGCCGAGCTTAGTTGGCTGAGGCTGATGGGAGTTGTAGTCCAAAACTTCCAGAGGGCTGCAAGATGGCAAAGGCTGCAATGAATTTTAAATTAATGGACTTAAGGACCTCCCTTTATTTTATAAAGACACCTTGCCTCTGTAAAAGTACCTTGATGTTGTTTTCCGTCATTTTAAATACATATAGCCACGAGAATGCATTAATCTGATGCACAAGTTATATATATATATATATATATGTATGTGGCATGTGTTCTATAGAGATGCATCTGAAAATGCAGGTAGACAAGATCTATCTATCTATCCATCCATCCATCCCTCCATCCGTCTAGAGAGCTTGAACTGCAAAACAGCCGTGTCAGAACTCAGATGGTTAACATTCGCTTCTTGCTGTTTTATTGCATATTACTGTGCGCTCCTGAGCAGCAGGAGCAGATTCGAGCAATTACAATCAAGTCAGGGCACACGCCGTGGCTGAGCAACACGATCATGATGAGGATACTGATGAGGCACTTATCGAAAACCCCACATCATCCACACTCATCAGCCACAACATGTCACCCCAAATGAGGCATCAGCTGCCTTCAGAAGGCTCATTGCACACTGTTTACAGCTTTCTCTAGGCCCACTTTTGATTTTGCAGTCAGGGCTTAGTTCAAACAGCAGCTGACTGGTTCCAGGGCTCAGTGCAGCATCCCTCTCAGGCTGCAGGCAGGCTCCAGCACAACAGCCGGGCGAGCTGCAGCAGGGAAAGCGGCTTTCCCTTTCCACGCAAAGGAGAGTCATGGGCTCTTTGCTGTAATTGCTCCATTATTTAAGTGAGAAATTAATATCAGCCGCTGGAAAATAAAAGGAGAGGAAGAGAACGCACACCTTCTGTCACCTGTTCTTTTTCTTCACATTTTAGCTTCTGCAAGTAGTATTTGAATTAACACAAAAAGAAAGAAAAAGTTGGATGTAAGTGCATTTGAGACCAACGCATTAGGCTGCAATCCGATACACACTTACTTGGGAGTAAGTTCCAGGGACTTATTTCTAAACAAACGCATGGAGGATTCTGATGTTAGTGACTTTAATCCCACTATTAAATAATTAGTGTCCAGTGTGATATACATGCTTGGGATAGAAAACCTGATTATTTTGCATCCATATCACTTTCACATATTTTTACCCATCATTTAGTTCTGTTCCTTTTGCTCATTAATCTGTTCTCCCCTCAAAATAGACACTTTAACACATAATTAACTGTGCATTTTCTCTCAAAATACATATTTTGTTGTGTGTTTTGAGTTGCTTAAACTGTGAAGAGCCATGATGCAACATTTGAAGAAGGGCAGATTCTGTTGACTGGCTAAGTTCTGATCTGCACATTAGTCACAGAGATCAAGTCCATGAGCAAATTATTTTGTATAGGAATTTGCAAAGATCTAATTGCCCAGGCATGCCTAATATTTTTAAAGAAGTGTTAGGTCAACTGTTGAGATCCTTGGTCTTCACTAATACAACCCTACCCATTTCAGTGGGAATTGTGGAAGCTCAGCCCAGCAATCAAGGAACTGGGCAGTTTTATTATCCTTACTAGAACACATTTTCTAAGTTTGAACATCTGGAGCATGAAGTTGCCTTAGGCTGTGATGTCAAGTATATTTAGTGGAAATTCCATCACTGCAGATAAATAATCTGGGAAGCATTGTGTCATCTTCATTCTCAAGACAAGGACTCAGATTGGCAAGATGTTTAGAAATCCAATGGGTAAATAATACATCAATTAATTATTACTGATAGTAATGACTGGGTTATTACTAAATAATAAATTTATTATCGATTAAGATGAGGAGGAGGGCGTACAGATTGCAGCACTAAGGCTGCAATCCTATACTTATATACTTGGGTGTAAGTCCCATTGAATTCAATGGGGCTTACTTCTGAGTAGACAAGTATAGGCTGGCACTGCATGTCTCATTGGAGGATGGGGACAAATTGGTCCAAAGGGATAAAGTGCAATCCTAAATTACATTAACAATGGACAGTGTTCATCAGGGCTATTTTCAAACATTTGTAAGAACTCGATCACTGAGTTTGGCAGTATCTACACTTTGGAACTTCCTACCAATTGATATGTAGCAGGTGCCTTCACTGTATTCTTTTTGATGCCTGCTAAAAAAAAATCTTGTTTAGATGCTTAGAAATGCTGGTGTGAGTTTTAATCTGGTTTTGTATTTTAACTTCTTGTTTGTTTTAATTCACTGTAATCCCCCCTCCCCGATTTTATGATTTTGTCTTATTGTAAACTTCTCTGAGGTTTTTCCAATCAAGTGGAGTATCAGTTTCATGAAATAATATATAAAGAAATAAACAGTCCAAACATTGCTGAACATCAAGAATTACAGCTTGATCCTAACCCTTGCTAACATATGAAAGAAATGGGGATCTGTACCAAGTTCTTCATCATTGTGGCACTGCTAAACAGGGAGACAAACTGGCATTGCAAGGATGTGACAATAGTACCACAAATCAATCTAAGTGTGCAAAAATTAAGGAGCAGCATGGCAACCCCTTTTCTAAATGCATTCGGGCTGCAATTCCAAGCACACCAACTTAGATATGGATCCAGATTAAATCATTGAGATTTATTTCAATGCAGCGTGGTTGGATCAAGAAACTATCTGAAGTCCAGTCATCACAGCATTCTTTCCTGCTTACGAACCAGCAGAGGCGTATTTAGTTTCCTGGCTTATTTGACCTAACAAGCCAGATCTCTCATACTTAAATTACACTGAAGTGCAAGTACTGTACGCCGATCTAATTGTTTCATGGATTACAGCCAAAGTTCCTGATCAAGAGCCCCATACATTTCCCTGTGTTCATACAGAGACTGTGCAGGCACAGACTGCCATTAACTTCAATGGAGAGAGGAGCTCCATTTGTACACAAGGTAGATCCGGCCCAAGGCATTTAGCCACTTGAGGCAAACCACAAAATGGGGCTCCTTCTCTCTGCCAGGGAAGAAGGGGTGAGTGAAGAAATAAGATTCCAATAGATTCAAGTTAGAAGAAAAGAAATTCTGACTGAATATTAGGAAGAACTTTCTGACAGTGAGCTGTTCAGCAGTGGAATGGACTGCCCCAGAAGGTGATGGACCCCCCTTCATTGGAGGTTTTGAAACAGGGTGGTGTGCCCATTTGTCTTTTTTTTTTTTAGCTGTGATTCCTGCATTGCCTGGGGTTGGACTAGATGACCCTTCCATCTCTACCATTGAACAGAATTGAGTTCCCATAAGCTGGAATGGCATTCTTAAGACGAGTGCTTCTAAATAACATGCAAGCTGAAAAGGCCGTGGAGGAGAACTTAGCTATGTTATAAGTGGGATAGTGTGCATAGATACAGTATACATTTAAAAGTACTCAGCTTTGATCGTATAACAATATATACTGCTAGCTATTCTTACAAATGCACACACCTATATAAAATTGAATTATATGCCTGGAGTGTGTGTGTCTGAGATCTGTTTTTGGGTCATCATCTAACTCTTTGTGATGCACATTCTAAATTAGGCAAGAGGGATGCGCCTTTCAAATGCAGATCATGTTTGCCTTTAGAAGAGCAATGAGAACACTTGCCACTTTCAGAACATTTATGTGCTAGAAGTACTGTTAGCAGAAGAGCAGTTTAGATAAATTCAAGACTTTTTTTTTTGCTGATCACAAACATTAAGCTTCACACCTGAAGCCCTCAACCCCCTGCTGTGCTCTAATCCTAGCATCATTCACTGCTAGAGACTCAAAGCGCTGTGCCACTGCTCTCAAACATTTGATTGCCCTTCGTTTGAATGCCACCACCTGCAAAAATGCGTTTTTTTATTCCCTTTTGAGCCTCTCGAGGAGGAAGTAAAAAATGATAATTCATGGCAAACATTAATTAATTGTTTACAAGATGATCTTTTCTTTTTCTAACTTATGTTCAGGAGACATATTGAGCGGCGAGATCCTACTCTTCATGTCAGAGTTTGTCAAGAGGCCTCCGTTGTTGTTTATCGCTCAAGCATAGGATAGACTGGAGGTCATTGTTTCTTCAGCTCAAGTAGCCCTGTCTGGCTCTTGTTTGGAGAATGGAAGCGACATGCATGATTTCCCCGTTGCAAAAAGAACTACCGGGTCTAGGAAGGAACAGGGGATTTAACAGTGTAAATAAACATTTCCCTCCACCTTCTGCTCCGTGTGATTTTTTAAAAAGGTCAAGAGGCACCATTGCTGTATTTTAAAAGCCTCAAATTATGTTTTAAGAAACATATCACTAAACTCACAGAAACCTGATCAGAACTGTTAAGGAGCTGCTGTGATTGTATTCACCCTTGAGTTCAGCAACCATGAGAAGACCCACCAGAAGATGCTAAGGCAATTAAATCTGTTTGGAGTTTTCTAGAAATCACTGGGGTTTGCTGCCTGGCAACTGTCAGTAAGCTCAAGAGTCCAGATTTGTAAGCTTGGTCACACCAACTTTGGTCACACACAACCATGTTTCCCACAGATCAGGTAACTTCCAGCAACTGAAATGTTAATTTGCCAGGTTCAACAAATTAATTTCAGTAATCAGTATAGCTTGGGGCAAATGTTTGGAATTAGGATCTTACAAATGAGACCTGCAATGATATGTCACAGTGTTAGGTGGTCAGCTGTGCCTTCTTTGGCAACAGCCTATTCCATCTCCACCACCACAATTTTCCTACTCCCTCACAAACCTAGTCCTCATCTGAATGTGGGCTCTGGAGGTTTTTTGTGTGTTTTTTTGCACCACATAGTATTTTTCCCTTTAAAAAATTTGCCCTCCTTTGTAAAACTTGAGTTCGTTGAAGCTTGTTATACCTCTCTTATGTTGCTCTCCTTTGGCTTCATAGCCATCACCTGAGTTCAGTATTAGTGGTACTGTGGTCTAAACCACTCAGCCTCTTGGGCTTGCTGATCGGAAGGTTGGCGGTTAGAATCCCTGCGACGGAGTGAGCTCCCATTGCTCTGTCCCAGCTTCTGCCAACCTAACAGTGCAAGTATGCCAGTGCAAGTAGATAAATAGGCACTGCTGCAAGAGGAAGGTAAATGGTGTTTCCGTGTGGTCTGGCACTTGTCACAGTCCTCCATGCGCCGGTAGTGGTTTAGTCATGCTGGCCACATGACCCAGAAAGCTATCTGTAGAAAACGCCGGCTCCCTTGGCCTGAAAAGCAAGATGAGCACCGTACCCCATAGTCATCTTTGACTGGACTTAGCCCTCAAGGAACTCCTTTTATTAGTATATACAAGTGGGCGCTCTGCAATAAAATGTTACTGTGTCCCAGCCACTCCCTTCCGCCCTCTCCCCCAGTTCTGCTCGCCCCTTCTTGCAAGAACCAGTCAGAATTCTGTGCCCACTAAACACACAGCCTTGTCTTCATTAGACTTTGTTATCTCCTCCATTTTATTTTATGTTTTCTTTTGGAGGTGATGGTGATGGGATAGGCTTGTGCCCAAATCTAGCTACATTAAAATATTTCATTGTATGGGCCAGCTCTCCCTTCTGTCACTAGCCTTTATGTAACTACTACTTCTTGCCCATGGCCAAACCAAGACATTTTGGCACCTGAGACGAACTGCAGCTCCCTCCACCAACGAAGAAAGGGTGAATGAAGATCTACACCAGCAGACCCCTCAAGTGTCCCGATTTATTCGGGACATCATGGTTTGGCAATCTCGAATGCTCCAATTTTGATCCCTCACACTGGTTGCGCCAGAGCAACCAAACAGGACCAAAAAACGGAAGGAAAACTTACCTTGACCTCCTCTTCCAGTTGTTTGTCTACGGTGCCGGAGGAGGAGGAGGAGGAGGAGGAGGCAGTTCTGGTCTGTGCTGCATCAGAAGATGCGGTGTAGGCTAGCAGGCCTTTTGGCAGACTACACCAGGCCACTCGCATCTCTGCAGAAGCAGGCTGTCTGGTGCGGCCTGCTGCATGAGGAGAAGCAACGCGGCCTGCTGAAAGGCTGCACTGGCCTCTGCTGTGTCTCCCGACACTCCCGAGGAGTAGGAAGACTGCTCAAGGGGAGGGGGCAAGCAGGCGGGCAAGGGGCGGGGTGTGCGCGCCCCGAATTGCCCTCCCAAAATGTTGGCAGGTATGAACCAGGAACAAGGGTAACAAAGATCTACATCGGGTGGGAGTAGACCAGCACCACCTCCTATTCGCCAAGAGGTTGCTGCATAGGTGGCCGAACTGCAATTGCTTGGAGCCCCGATCTGCTGCCCCTATGGATCCTGCCACCTGAGGGCGTCACATCACCTTGCTTTTGGGTGGGCCGGCCCTGTTCCTGCCTATCACAACCTCTGTCTAACAAGCCCTGCAGACTGCTTCCCAAAGCCTGTTCTTCTGTGGGGTGATTCATGTCTTGTCTCCTCCCTCCTTTTTCTCTTTCCTTGTTTTCTTTTGTTCGGCCCTTTTTTTCTTAGCTCTGTTCAGCAGGCCCAGTTCAAGACACTTTCTTGCTTGAGGTAAAGGACTAAATGGTGCCCTCCCTCAAGGCCCACACAGAAGGCAATCAGATTGGCAATTGAATCTTACCCCAATACTGGTGAAAGGATAGGATCTTAAAATGCACTTGAGGGCAGCAGGCTAGCATAGGAGGTACAGGTCAGACCACACAGCACTCACAGCTCTGTCTATTCCCCACACCTCAGCATCGTAAACCACTGTGATTTTATAATACAGTAATATATAATGCAAGTAGCTTAATAGGTACTGCTTCGGCGGGAAGGTAAACGGTGTTTCTGTGCACTGCTCTGGTGTCGATGTTCCGTTGCACCAGAAGCGGCTTAGTGACCCGGAAAAACTGTCTGCAGAGCGGACAAACGCCATCTCCCTTGGCCTGTAAAGTGAGATGAGCGCCGCAACCCCAGAGTCGTTCGCGACTGGACTTAACAGTCAGGGGTCCCTTTATCTTTACCTTTACTTATATAATTTTTTTTATACATAAACAAATAAACCTGCTCTCTGAGGCAACTGCTTCACTCTGCTTCATCACAGGGCTGCCCTTGCTGTTCAGCAATACTCCTTCCAGTCCTGGTAAATCAAATCAGCTTTACTATAGTTTTGCTGTAGGTGGTCTGAGCTAGACCAAGGGCACATTGAAAGAGGCACACAGCAAAATATATGCATTATTGTTAAATGCGCATTGATCAGGCTGCACTGTAGACCAGGGGGTGGGGAACTTTCTTCAGCGTGAGGGAGCCATTCCCTCATGAACAGCCTTCTGAGGGACACATACAAATGGTAGGCAGGGCCAGAGTGGGCGGAACAAAATATGTGACTCTTACCTTTGCATAGCCGGCTACTTCTGTTGATGCAGCCCAGAATAGCATTAACTCCATCTTCCATGTGGCAGCCCTTTATATATTTGAAGATGGCTATCATATCTCCTCAGTCTCCTCTTTATCAGGCTAAACATAGCCAACTCCCTCAACTGTTCCTCATAAGGTTTGGGTCCCAGACCCTCAATCATCTTAGTCACCCTTCTCTGCACACGTTCCAGCTTGTCAATATCCTTAATTTATGGTGCCCAGACACTGGACACAGTATTCCAGGTGTGGCCTGACTAATGCAGAATAAAGTGGGGCTCTTCTCTTCACCTGGACACTATACTTCTGTATTTGCAGCCTAGAATAGCGATAGCATTTTAAAATTTTATTTTATTTTTTGCTGCTGCATCACACTCTTGACTCAGGTTAAGCTTGTGGTCCACCAACATCCCTAGATCCTTTTCACATGTACTACGCGGGTGGCGCTGTGGGTAAAACCTCAGCGCCTTGGACTTGCCGATCGCATGGTCGGCGGTTCGAATCCCCGCGGCGGGGTGCGCTCCCGTTGTTCGGTCCCAGCGCCTGCCAACCTAGCAGTTCGAAAGCACCCCCGGGTGCAAGTAGATAAATAGGGACCGCTTACCAGCGGGAAGGTAAACGGCATTCCGTGTGCTGCGCTGGCTCGCCAGATGCAGCTTGTCACGCTGGCCACGTGACCCGGAAGTGTCTGCGGACAGCGCTGGCTCCTGGCCTATAGAGTGAGATGAGCGCACAACCCTAGAGTCGGTCACAACTGGCCCGTATGGGCAGGGGTACCTTTACCTTTACCTTTTTACTGGTAAGCCAGGTGTCTCTCATCGTATATTGGTGCAGCTGGTTCTTCCTGCCCATCATGTCCATTAATTTCAGTGGTTCTGCTCTAAGTCTTCTTCTTCTTTGACAATCACTCATAGCCGAGTAAGATTGTCTTCCATAAACATGGTTTTAACAATGAGTCCCTATGTGGCTGTGGAGGCCAATTCTGGAACCTCACGTCCTACCACAGTGGAGACATTGCTTTCCAAGCGGGAGTTGATCACGGTGTGGATTTGCCAAGCGTGCCTTTCTCTTAGCACGTTTCTCCCTTGCGTCCTGAGTTCGAGTGTCTTCAAAGCCCATGACACCTCTGGTAAAGGCTGCTCTCCAATTGGAGCGCTTGCAGGCCAGTGTTTCTCAGTTGTCGGTGTTTATACTACATTTTTAAAGATTTGTCTTGAGACAGTCTTTAAACCTCTTTTGTTGACCACCAGCATTACGCTTAGTTGGACACAACCCAATGTTTTAACTGTTCCAGTTTGCTCCTAGGGAAACCTCTGGCACTAAGCCATCAGGTGTGGCTTTACACGAGGTCTGGGATTGGTGCTCTATTTTAGCAGCTGATGGGCTCATGTTCGGCCGCTTATAGGATGGCCACTTATATGAAACCAGAAAAGAGGACAAAAGAGGACATCAAACTGCATATAATCTGCATGTGCAAATTTCTGTGTACTGTTGCAAAATTAAAAAATAATTGCCGTAACTTAAATAGGCACATCCAATACACCTTATTTGGCCAGAAGAACTGTCGGTCTGTTGCCCAGGTACTAATCACTCATGAGGAACTTCAAAGCCCTTGCTATCTCTCCTTATGGATATTTCTCTTTAAAGTGGACTTGGACCAGAATGCCCTTCAGATAGAAGACTCCTTCAAACAGAGGATCTTTCTTCAAAAGTGTGTGTCCTGCTAGAAAATCAGGTGCTAACTTCAAGATTGGCTGTCCTGTTGTAGAAATGTGCCATATTCTGCAATCTGCAGAGGTTATTCTCAGACTCAAGCAGTTTTGTTTTGGAAACGCTGTGCTGCATAA